GTCTGGCGGCGGAGTGGGCAGCATGTTGTTGGCGTTGCTGCTGCCGTTGTTGTAGTAATAAGCACCTTGATGCAGGCCGGAGCCACGCGAGCCAGTGTCCGTCTCACCGCGGAACACAGCCCTCATGGACTCACAAAAGAACCTTTCACATTCTTCCCTGATCGAAAGTGCTGCCCCCCCTCTGCGGCTAATCCTCTTGCCGGGCACGGTATCGCGCCTCTTGGAGCTGCTGCTACTGGCCTTGGGAAGCAGAGCGAGCTCGTTGGATGCCGTTATGGCCGCGAGGGGGGGACTTGAAGGAGGGGATGGTAGTCCTGAGGAGGGGACCTCAGGAATACCACTCGGCCCCTGTGGATTCCAAGATCTGTCAGTCCATGATCCATGTAGTTTACCAAGTTTCCGGAGATGGGTGATGCAAGTGAGCGGGGATCGTAGGGGATGGGAAGTTTACAAGAGACAACAACCCCGAGTGATCGGCGGCGTATCTACAAGTTTGAGGCTGAAGATGGGCATACATGAGGGAGGCAGGAAGGAGGGAAGAGAGACATGTGCTTCTGCTGCTGTGGAATGGGAAGGATGCGACGTACCTGCGGCGCCGGTAGTGCAGTAGTGGAGACCGCGAAGAGTCGCGGCGGAATCGACGATGTAGCAGCTGGCGAGGACATTGGCCTGACGGACAATGGCCTCACCATAATTACTACTACTGTAATTGTTGACCTGATTCATGGGCGCCATTGCGATTGATTTTCGGGGTTTGGTAGCTAAAGTCTGGTGTTGAGGTAGAATTGGTTTGGGAGGTCGGTTCTCGGGAAATCGGAACCGGTTCGTCGATGAGTTGGTGTTTGAAAAGTGAGGCGAGAGTCAAGTAGCGACGATGGTAGTCTTTTCTTGGAAAGGTGGTGTGGGTTTTGTTGGGTTAGCTGGTGAGGCTGTTGTCGATTTGTGTAGATCGATTGATGTAGTAGCGCGGGGGCGAGGATTTGCGTTGATGTTTTGTCCTTGTTTTTCTTCTTCTTGAACGGCGGTTGTTGCGGGTGAGGCGAGCAGGATATCGGCGGTGAAGCGTTGCGATGGGGAAGGCAAGAAGAGGGGAATTGGGAAGAGACGGCGGCGGCGGGCGGAGTGGTGAATAAAAACCCAGCGGAAAGGCCATATCTCCCTCCTACAGAAAAAAATAATAAAGGGTGGAAACGTCTAGCGTGGCGGAGAAAGCAGCCCAGCCAAGGGGACCATCACTTGGGCTGTCCACTGTGCAGCACGCAGCAACCGCCACCCAGCCGTGCCGTGCCACTTTCCAATGGGCCGCAATGGCAGTCTCCAGGGGTGGCAGCCACCAAAAAAAGCGGCCAAGCTCACCGGCCCAGTGGGAAAACCTACACAGTACCTGAGGTACTGCGCATGCGTATGGATACAGGGGAAGGAACAGTCATAATCAGCCATGGTATCTCCACCTTTCCCCCTTCTTTCCTCGGATCCCATCATCCATCATCCATGTCTCCTCCTCACCATCCAATGCATTTCAATGCCATTGATTCCGTCCACGTCAATTCAGACTTTCAATTGCTTGGATCTTACTCAATCACAATCCTCAGGGACCCTCTACTTTCGTCACTTCACATCGGCACTCCATGATCTGTTTGCTTGTTCGCTACGATCATCATCCACATCAGCTGCCTCTTTGCGCAGCTTCCAGAGGGTTCCAGTTTGTCCATTGTTCTCACTGGCAAGGGGGCGTCCATGGTCCACGGTCCATTGGGGGGCCACTGGTCTAGGCTTACGAAACCGGCTGGAGCCTTTTGCTTTGCAATGCGCCAACCGTCAATGTTGCACTGTATGAGGCGGTATGGGAAGCAAAGCACGTTGTTTCCTGGGCTGCATTGCATTGGCTGATGCTGCTCGGCCATTTGTGGTCCACGATCTATCTTACCTACCCATTGGGTTCTGGTTCATTGACGGACTTGAAGCAGTTGCATCCTTCTGTCTCCAAACTCCAATAACTGTATGTATCCAAGCCTATCTCGACCGTCTATCCGTACAGACCAGTCAGAGATGAATTCTACTGTCACCAGTAGTCTCCCGCCAGCAATCAACCAACTCGGGTGGACGCTCCCAATCCGGGCCCGGCACGGCGCTTGGCACTTTGACTGCTTCTCCTGCGGCCTCTGCCAATCGAACGAGGCCGTGGGCTGCACTTCACATGCACGTGGTCAATCCCCCCCAAACCGAGCCCTTGCTGCCCAGCCACCCTAGCCCGACCCAGAACTTGGGGTAATCATCTCTTGGACGGAAACGGTCAACAGATGAGTTTCTCTCTCTGGCGCTCACAGTATCGCAGTGCTTTATCCGTACTCTTGATGGGCTTCCACAAGGATGATCAACGTTGATATGTGTGGCGTTGGCCCGATAACTGGTTCCCTTTTTGAATCATCAACTTACGAAAGTGAGGTAATATTACGCAAGCAGTTTAAGCACACGGCCGTCGATCGTCGCACATACATACGAATGACAGATAACCGCTGAGAAATGTCGGGGTCCTCCACCATCAGGACAATTAGGGTTTGCGAGAGGCCAGCCTACCGTCACCAAGTTCGAAACTATGGGAGAGCTCACTACGTACACAGTACTGTATTCCAGACGTCCGCCGTGGATAGTCCAAACATTTCATATGGCTATGGCGTAAGATGTCGCAGGTTCGCAACCAGCTCGAGCGGATGGATCCCCTTTCAGCCGGAGCCCCGGCACGGTCGGAGGCCGCGTTTTCTCGGCCGTCGCAATTGTGACGGGCGAGCAGGCCACCGGAGCATAAGGTGTCACGGTGGTTGGTCTATGTTCACACATTGCCTTGGGCAATATTGCAGGATGCCTTGTCAATGCCTGCCAAAAATGCCATGGCAGCGCCGCAACTAGCATGCTTGGACTTCCTGGGGTCCGGGTTTCCGTTCGGGTCACTTGACCGTTTTGCCCCCCACATTCATGATTTGCGAGTCATCCACCGCAGCATTCTCCTTCTCGAAAGGAACGAGTGCGTTATGAATACCTTGACGAATATCGACTTCTCTTGGTGGCTTGGATCATTCGTTCGAAGTTGATCTACTAATTTCGTATTAACGACGATTGAGCGTCTACTTGTCATCGAGACTGCTACGGTCTACCTACCTTGATGCTGGGTGCAGTCAAAGGGCTAAAGATTTCGCATCTAAATCGGCGCCGGTCTCCGGTAGTCAGCAGCTAACAGCCCGACGGACCATCTGACGCTCCCCACTACTTCCTCACCGAAACCGAGCGAAAGTTGCGCGGCGTTTTGGTCCACAGATAACGATCGAAATGCTTCATCAATGATGTTGGATGCTGTTGCAAGATACTTGTGACGGCCTCGATCCCCGCAAACTCCAAAGTTGCCGAACAATAACCTCTGGAACTCGAAACATCAACTTTGGGTTTTCGCTTTTTCTAGAAGCCTCTCCAGCCGTTCAGGTGCTCACCCTCATTCTGGGAGTCTCCAACGACATGAATGAAGGTGGGGACCCCTTCTCTTTCCGTCTGCCGCACAACCGTTGGAGGAAGAGGGGTCACATCTGATGGAGGCCGAATGAGGTGATCATCCACACCCACCCGCTGGTGGGGTCCGAAGTCCAGTGACACACACACCACTTACTGCCGGCGCCAATGGAAACCTCACCACTTGGGAAGACTCCACCCGGCCGCCGTCTCTCGTTCTTATCGACTCACGCTTCCAGTTGCTCAACTTATCGATAATGTTGGGCTGTGATAAGGTATAGGTAGCCAAGTGGGGAAGCTCGAACCTCCTTCGACCGAGGGACTTGAACCGTACCTACTTCGTACACCACCGCATCCGAGCGATCCCTCCAGTGTTGAATACCTGGTACTGTGCCCAAGGTAAGTACTGAATAAAGACCGACGCCCGCTGCTCCGATTTTGGCCGCTTGTTGAGCAGATGTTCCCGGAGAGGCGGGTTGGTAACTACCTTGGCACCTTTGCAATGTCTTACTTTACGATATCAAAGTGAAGGCAAAACATCCGCAACTCCTCTTCAGCCTTCATGTCTAGCTGAATCAAATGTCAGCAAGCCACATTCTTCCATCTCAAGTCCGGGCAGAGAAAACTAAAGCTCCAAACATCTGCGCATACCTACCTTACCAAAATGGAGGTACCTACAAAACCAAAATATGCCCGACGTTTGTGCCCAGACCCTTTTGATATCTTACACTTCTCGTCGTCCACTCACCGCAAAACAGGCGGGATCCACCAGAGACAGTGACAGTGACATGCTGCTTGCCGGAACGGTAGGTGCCATACCTTCCCTTCCCTTCCCTTGCGTTACCTTACCCTCCAACAACCCGAATCATTCACTCGCTCACAAAAAACTGCACGTTACACACCATTTGGACGGTGGCCAGGCCAAAAAAGAAAAGCCCAGCCCGAAAATCCTCTACCCCTCCATCTCACTGTCTCGTGCCATAAGTCAGTCACTCACCTGTTCCCCTCCCTGTCGAACTTGCGCCCCTGCGCCGGGCTCTGATCTACCAAACTACCTACCTTACCTACCCCAAATCGCCTCCGACCCTTCATTCCTGCTTGCCCGCCTTGCCTTATACATGATTCCATGACCTCCCGGGGACCCCGTTCCAGTCGCAAAGGATCCAAACTCGTGAACAAGTCAAGAGAGAGGCGGTAGAAACTCCTGAAACGCTTGCTATCGTCGTCGTTCCTCCCAAAGACAAAGCCATGCTCTCCTCACCCTAAACATCCAGAGAAGACCATCCATCCTCTCCATCGGAACCCTCGCCGGAATACCATGGTAGAACCCTCCACCATCGGCGCCGCCCAAATCTACAACTCCAACGAGCCGTAATCCAGAGCATACAAGCGAAACAAAGAACCTCCGAGGAAACCACATCTTCGGGACCAGGGCTTCCGAGAACGCGGCGCACTACCCACCTTTCTCTTCCCGTCCAAGAAACCCCCCAAGACCCCTCGCGATGGCGCCCAACATCGTCGTCTCCCGTCCCACATTCCCAACGTACCTCCTCCCAAGCTTCAACATCGTCCCCTTCCGCCGCCGCGCCCCGCGCCGGACCTCGTCCGCATCAGAAGCAGCAGCAGAAACGGGGACAGCTTCGACGTCCCCGGACTCAACCCCAGACGCAAGCCAAGTCCCCTCCCTCAGCTCCTCGCCGACTTCCTCGACGACGGACGAGACCGCGACCCCGCCGAACAGCCCACCGCCGCCGACGTACCGAGATGCCACCACCGCCGCCGCAACAACTAGCATACCAGATCTCCTCTCCAAATCCACAAGCATCAGCACCAACAAGAACAACAGAAACAACAAAACAACCTCCCTGGCACGCACCCACCCAGACACCCTCCGCTGCTCAACCTGCTCCTGCGACATCGCCTTCGCCTCCCAAATCGTAAGCAAAGGCTTCACAGGCCGCTACGGCCGCGCCTACCTCATCGCGCCGACCGCCATCCCAAACACCACCACCGATACCACGTCCTCCTCCCCCTCCACTACCCAGAGTGCACGCGGCGGCGCAAACAACAGCAAGAACAAGGGAAGCCTCGCCAACGTCCGCATAGGGAAATGCGAGAACCGCCAGCTCGTGACGGGCTGGCACGTCGTCGCGGACATCACCTGCGTCCTCTGCAGCGCGAAGCTGGGGTGGAAGTACGTCGACGCCAAGGAGCTCAGCCAAAAGTACAAGGTGGGCAAGTTCATCCTCGAGGTCGAGCGCGTGGTGCCGTTCCGCAGCTGGGAGGATGTTGTCGACGTCCGGGACGATGAGTGTTCTGACGACGAGGAAGACGATGCGTTAGAGGATGACGATTCCGTGGCCGGGGAGGCCGGCGGAGTAGGTGGTAGAGACGAGGATGTTGCGGACCGAAACGGCGACGACAGCGGCGGCGGCGACGACAGTGCCGCCCAGAGCGCTCGCAAGGACGCGCCGGACAGTGACGTTGAAGTTGTGTTTGATTCCGAGGACGAGGACGACCTCGAGGATATGTTCTCTGGAAACTGGGACCCAGAGGTTGTGGCAAAGAGACGGAGCCGTCGAGTGGCGACGGCGCGGAAGAAGTAGTGGAGCTTTTGTTGAAAGCTCCCGATACCCCCCCCCCCCCTTTTCCCCTACCACTTACACGCACGAGATATCCCAAGCCATGCAGGCTTTGTCCTCTCACCGGCGTTTTGCTTGGATACCTGGAACACGAAGTATATACCATGATGAACGAACGATCATGACTGTCCATTTACGCACTAATACCCCACATTTAGAAACGACGAATTTGAGCACGGTTTAATATGAATTTGTTTGGGTATTTAATTACGTGACTTGTGATTTGAACCTTGCAGTGAAAATCAGGAGCTTCTTGTCCGTCGATCCCCATCTGGCCAACGGCCCATTGCAGCCCTCTCGGCATGCATGATATGCTGTCAGCAGTCGGCCTGTAAGCCGAACTCAACTCGCCATGGCAACGTGGTAAGGCGACTGCCCCATTGCATGTCATGGCAGATATCGCGGTTCCTAGTTGCCCTCTGGCGTAGTGATCTCACTTAATCCATGGTCGATTTATGCGATGGGCTCCTCGGCGACGTAGTGCAAGTAAGCGCCAAGGAGCTTAATGCCCTCGATGTAGTTGCGCTTGTCCAGCTTCTCGTTGATGGAGTGAGCACCGTCAGTGGAGCTACCCATGGGCAGAAGAAGAACGTTCTTGCCGGTGGCCTGCTCAAAGGTCAAGGTGACGGGGATACTATGTCTATTGTTAACGGACGTCCTTCGGTATCTGGAAATGGGATTCATACCTTCCACCCTCACGGGTGAAGTCAGGCTGCACGCCCCAGACGCGCTCGGTGGCCTTGGCGGCAGCCGAGAAGTTCCAGTGCTTGGGCGACGCAACCCACCACTTGCCGGTGTGCTGAGCCCAAACCTTCATGGTGTTCTTGCTCTTGAGCTTTGCGAATTGCTCGTTGACGTACTTGTAAACGGCCTCGTTGGTCGCCTCCTCCTCCATGTTGGGCACGGTACGGATGGAGAACTTGCCAGTGACCTTGGCCGGGATAACAGTCTTCGCGCCAGGGGCAGAGAAGGCACCCTCAACACCGTGGACAGAGAGGGAGGGGTAGCGCCATCTTCCCATGAGGGTGGACTTCTTGTCTTCGTAGATAGTAGTCTTGCTGCCGAGAGACTCGTGGAGAGTCTCCATAGTGAAGGCAATGCCATCATACAGAGTCTCCTCATCCTTGGTAACGGGGGCGACCTGCTCCATAATGCCAGGAATCTGGATCTTGCCGTCAGTGTCGACCAATGAGCCGAGAACGCGGACCAGGTCAGTCATGGGTTCCTGAGCAGTGCCGCCAAAGACACCGCTGTGCAAATCAGCGCCAGGGCCCTTGATCTCGACAGAGTAGTAGTTGCAGCCACGGAGACCATAGGTCAAGCAGGGCTTCTCAGTTCCGAGCCAGTAGTTGTCAGAAATGCAGACAGCATCGGCGTCAGCGAAGAACTTCTTGGCCTCGGCATTGATGAGATCGTCGAGACCCTCGGAACCGTACTCCTCCATACCCTCGAAGCACATGAGGAGGTTGACGGGGAAGTCGATGCCGGCCTTCTGGTGAGCCTCGATGGCGTTCAACCAGCCGAGAACGGGTCCCTTGTCGTCCGTGGCACCACGGCCGAACATTCTGCCCTTGTCATCGACGGAGAGCTCAAAAGGCTCGGTCGCCCAGCCATCAGTCTTCTCGGCGGGCTGAACATCGTAGTGGCCGTAGACCAGGATAGTTCTCTTGTTCTTGTCGCTTCCATATCTTCCCAGCACGACCGGGGGCAGCTGCAAGCCAGGCTTGTCAGGCTGCTCACCGAGCTCGCGAAGCTCGACTGAGGCACCGAGGGCCTTCAGCTCGGCAGCGAGCCACTCGCCCATCTTGACGACATCGGGACGACGCTCAACATCAGCTGAGATGGAGGGGATCGCAACAGCCTTCCGGAGGCGATCGATGAAGTGGTCGGTGTCGGCATCGACCTGCTTGAAGTAGCCGTCGAGTTGAGGAGCCATCTTGGTCTTTCGAGCTTGGTGTGCTTTTATAGCTGGAGTAAGGTAGTGACGGCGAGATTGTGAGATGGTCTGCCAACACGGTAGAGATTTGGGAGTTGTAGGAACAAACTTTCGAGCAGTCTGAGGGAGGGCAAGGCCTCTAAACAACAAGGTGCGGGGCATGACGCCGGACTGGACCTTCTACATCGGGCGCAAAAGAGCTGACCAGAATTCTGCTGCACCGAGAGTACCTCTACATGCACCTGCCCACAACTGCTCCGGATGGCGGGGTTCTCTCAATGCGCTTCGGCAAGCAGCGGCGTATCAGCAGGAAGGGACCTGGCCATTGCTAATGTATCCGTTCCAGGTGGAGGCGCTAAGACCGAGACCAAAGAACTTTTGCGTGATACAGCACGTGACGTTGTCGGCAACTTCGCGGCCGAGATAGTGGGGTCCCGGTCGGGACCTGGGCGGAGGAGGCAATGGAAGTTTCTTGGGATTACTCAGCTGTGACGGCACCTTCCGGAGAAGAATGGGGACCCTTTCAGAACTCAGGCTGATAAGGTAAGAAAGGCCTAGCACAGAGAAGGGACATAGGCTCCCGGAACAACATTCACCCGGGAAATCCAACGCTCACGTGCCATCTGGCCCAGGCTTGCCTAGAATTGGCAGTGCTGCAGAATCAGGCCGGTCGGTCGCAGTGGCCAGAGAGTGGGTTCCAGCTACCTTTCTCCGTCTGCCTGCAGTCACTGCCGGCTATATCTCTTCTCCTCCCCCTTTGCGTTACTCCTCTTTTTCCTGCCACGAACATCACCATCAACGCCCTCTTACGACCTGCGACCGCGCGTTTCGTTCTGCCGAAACCTACGTACGGGTGCTCCATACGACTGTGCAACGGATTCTATCATCCTACGATAATCGCCCAAACGACTTTTCGGCCCCAGGTGACCAGCGAAGCAAGTGCCCGCTCAGCAACCGACTCTTTCCCTGTACGATTGTTTGCGTCTCGCCACGAGACCGTTGCGACCGCTCACACTTCGACCGAAATACTGAATTGGAGACCAACGCTGGCTAACTGTGGTTTTCTCGACTGATGGTGCGAAAGGTGTCGAGGTGATTTGGATTTGAGGAGGGATTCACACAAAGGGCTGACTTTTCTCCAACTGGTGTCGGCCTCTTTGGCATTGTACTCTTTCTCTACACTCCGCAACCCTTATTTCCTTGTTTTCCAAGTAAATCAGAATTGATTTTCATTACTCTTGAGAGGTGCTAAGCGCAAGAGACATCACACACAAGCAAGAAGAAAAATTACAAGCATCAAGTCTCTCTACTCACGTTGAGGTAGCGTTGCATCTTCGTGGTATCCCGCGAAGTCCTCATCGCCACTCAAATCAAATATTTGATCACGCACTTTACTGCTGCCAACGTCTATAGCGGTCTACATCTGTGACCTATCCAAACGAGGCATCATGGCGTCCTCCGTGTTCTTCAAGTTCAAGTCTCAAAAGGAGCCGACGCGAGTTGAGTTCGATGGCACCGGTATTTCCGTCTTCGAGCTGAAGCGCGACATCATTTTGAAGAGCGGCTTGGGAGATGGTACCGACTTCGACCTTGCTATTTACTCCGAGGATGGCAGTGAGGGTAAGTTCTATCTTGAACAGTTTTCTCACGACTGTCAATCTAACATCTTCTTAGAGTATGATGATGATACGACCATTATCCCCCGATCTACGACCGTAGTTGCTCGTCGCCTTCCAGCCGCCAAGCCTGGTGCAGGCCGAGGCGCCCGATATGTCTCTGGCAAGATGCCCGTTGCTGCGAAGAATTCCTCCCGCAAAGAACAGACCACCAAATCAGCCACAGCCAAGGCCGCATCCAACGCCATCAGCCAGATGAACAATGCCATGACGGAAGAAGAGAAGATGGCAGCCATGTTCCAGGCCCAAACCGAGTCTTGGTCAGCCCAACAGGAGGAAATGTCAAAGTAAGTCCATCCCCAATCGCCCTAACGAATCAACTCTAACAAAGTTGCAGCCAAACCCCTGTGTTCAAGCCAGGTTCTAAGAAGCCAGCAAACGTGCCTGACCATGACCCTCCCAATGGCTACATTTGCTATCGCTGTGGAGAGAAAGGTCACTGGATCCAGTTGTGCCCAACGAACGACGATCCAGAGTTTGACAATCGTCCACGTGTGAAGCGCACGACTGGTATTCCGCGGTCATTTTTGCGCACAGTGGACAAGTCGGTTGCCCTCGCCCAAAGTGGTGACGACGAGACCAAGAGACCATCAGGCATCATGGTCAATGCCGAGGGAGAATTTGTGATCGCTGAGCCTGACAAGGCTTCATGGGAACAGTTCCAGGCCAAAGCCAAGTCTTCAGCGTCTGCTGCCAAGGCAATCGCTATGGGAGACAAAGAATTGCAGGACCAGGGACTTGAGTGTCCTATCGACAAGAAGATGTTCATAGACCCAATGAAGACCCCGTGCTGCCAGAAGACGTATTGCAATGATTGCATAACCAATGCTCTCATCGAATCGGACTTCGTCTGCCCTAATTGCTCTACGGAAGGTGTCTTAATTGACGACCTCAAGGCTGACGAGGAAGCTGCGGAGAAGATGAAGGAGTTCCTCAAGGAGAAGAACGATGCAAAGAGCCCGACAGCAGCCTCGCCGCCGCCAGCCTCGTCGCCCAAGGAAAATGGAGAGACAAAGACAGAATCAGCCAACGGAATCGCCAAATCGCCCACATCGCAAAAGTCCCCTGCGGCCACAGCAGCAGCTCCTGCCTCAGCGCCAACAGGCCCGAAAGCCGATGGCACGCCAAAGTCGACATCAGCAACTCCTGCCACCGCTCCGTCCGGCCCCACCGCTGAGCGCGCGTCGTCCGTGGAGTCCAACTCCAAGAAGCGCCCTGCTGATGAGTTGATGGAGAACCCTAAGATTCCGAAGGCTCCGAAGGCGATGCAGAAGCAACAAGAGCAACAGCAAGCGATGATGAACGGCATGAACGGCATGGGCAACATGCCCATGGACCCGATGATGGGTTTC